TCAAGGCAGATGGTAGATTTTCACCTTCTTTATTTTTTTTTAATCCTGAGAAATCTGTGAACCTGCTGAATTCAAAGTGCAGCACTGGTAAAGGACCAGGCAGTGGTTTTCCTTGAGGCTCTGGGAGCTGTGGTGATAAAAATAATTTAGCTTTAATTTATAGATATTATAAAAAATTAACCTCCCCCCTTGGCTCCTGATTTCTAATATAGTAAGATTTACTTTTAATGTGACTGGGGCGTCTTCCTCAGCACTGGGGACATTTCTGTGTTTTATTGCCCCAGTGTTTATGGCTTTCAGCTGCTTCAAGTGATATTTTTTCAAATATTTGGAGGGTTGCTGGAAGTTGTGGCATAGGATTTGTGGGGCCAGGCCCCTGTTTAGTGTCTCTGAGAAAGGTGGTGGGGTTCCAGGAAAGGTGCTTGGGTCTCTCTCAGGGAGGCTGGGGACAAATTTGGGGCATTAATGGGACACCAAACAAACTCCCTGGCTGCTGTGCCCCTGCTGCTGGAGCAGACATTTGAGTGGGAAGCAGCAGAGAAGGTTTTAATCGTAGAATCCTTGAATGATTTGGGCTGGGAGGGACATGAAAATTCCTCTAATCCAATCCCTGCCATGGCAGGGACATCTTCCACAATCCCAGGGTGTTCCAAGCCCTGTCCAACCTGGCCTTGGACACTTCCAGGGATCCAGGAGCAGCCACAGCTTCTCTGGGCACCCTGTGCCAGGGCCTCCCCACCCTCCCAGCCAGGAATTCCTTCCCAATATCCCATCTTCTGTCAGCTTAAAGCATTCCCCCTTTTCCCACACCCCATGTCCTTGTCCAGAGTTCCCCTCCTGTTCTCATAGGTCCCACATGGATTGTTTTTACTGCCTGAGGTTGTTCCATTGAGTTCCTCCTGCAAACATCACTGGGAACATGCCAACCCCACCAGGATGGCTCAGGGGAGAGGGATGTGTCATCCATCCATCCATCCATCCATCCATCCATCCATCCATCCATCCATCATCCATCCATCCATCATCCATCCATCCATCCATCCATCCATCCATCCATCCATCCATCTATCCTCACCTCCAGGACCCCTCTCAGCACCCCCAGAATGGCTCTGCCCATCCCCCATGGCACCCACAGACCCCATCAAAGGTCCCAAACCTCCAGCCACCCCAGGGAAGAGCTCTGAAGGAGGCTCCCACCACCTCCCCTCATCCAGCATCAGGTCAAACCCCACTGCCTCCAGCTCCTCTCCTCACAATCCCCTCCCATTCCCAAAAAAAGGCCCAATGAGGTCAGTGACAGGCTGGAATAACCCCTGTGCTCCTTGTTCCACACTGCACCCCACAGATCCCTCTTCTCCCTGACCCAGGAGCTGCTCTGAGCCCAGGATTCAGCCGCTGCCTGGGATGGTTTTGGAGCTGTAAGTGGAAACTTGCCGGGATTTAGGTGGCATTTGTTGAGTGTCCCATGGGAGCAGCCAGCTCAGGAGCTGGGCCTGGAGGGATGAGGGGAGAAATGAGAAACCCAACACCCGCCTTGGCTCTGTCGAGGCTTAATTTAGAGCACAGGGGCTCTGCCAGAGTGTTTTTCCATTTAAAGCTGAACCTCTTCCCTTTTGTCCTGCACTGTGCCTTGCAGGGCAGTGGCAGCTGATGGCTGGGGCTGCTGGGGGGGCAGCAAAGCAGTTTCCAACTCAGTTCCTCTTTGCCACCAGCTTCCTCCCCATTTCTCCCACATCAAGGACTGAAATCCATCTCCTCCCTCCTTTGGAGCCTCAGGGAAGGCAGGAGCCACCCACAGCCCCAATCCACAACTCTAAATTCCCATGGGATGGGATTTGACCCCCTCAGCTGATCCTGTGCCCCTTGTCCAAGCAGATCCCAGGGCAGGGAGAGCTCTCCTGTGTCAATACTGTCTACATTAAACCACCCTAATGCAACTTAATTCACCTTACAGGCACTTTGGAAAGCTCTTTGCAGGTAAACTCTTGGCAACAGGCCCAAAGGAAAGGAGGACAATTAATCAAAGATCATTTATTCCCAGCAATTCAGCTGTACATTAAAATGGGATGCATCCATCAGGCACCCGATGGCTGCTCCATGGAAGAGGTCTGCACACCTCCAGAGCAAGAGACAAAATCTGGCTCAGCCCAAGTCTTTGGAGAACTTGTATTTGGAGGTAAAAACTGGCCAAATCCTAACAAGGAGTGGCCATAACTAAATAGTGGCAGCAAAATGAACCTTAACTGTACCCAGCAGTCTGTGCCAGCGTTGTCACCTTTAGCCTGTCACCACCATCAGCTGCAGTGAGAGACTGAAAAAACTCAGAGCTTATCAAAAAGCTGCCTGGGACACAACTTCTCACTGGATGAGGGTTGTCCCAGAGAGGAAATGCTGGGGAGTCACAGTGCTTTTATCTGGGAAAAGCAAAACAATGGCAGGCTGCAAACTGAAGCCAGAGAAATTCAAATTAGAATCGAAACACAGGATTTTTACAGGCTGGTGTTTATCCATGAGGGGAAAATAAATCACTGAAAGTTCCAAGAGAAGCAGGGGGTTGTGGTGATTTCATATCAGCTATATCCCTGAAAGAAATGTTGCAGCTCAAGCAGCACAAGTGTGCTGGAGAGATCCTGGGGCTGAGGATCTCCAGTGTAGGGATTTTTGAGGCAGAGAGGAAAATATTGTCATTGATTTTGTTCTCTGAGTGATGGGTTGGGGTCCAGGGGGCTGCTGCTCCCAAGATCTGCCAGGGTTTCTTATATTTAGCAAAATGCTGCACAAGAATTGGTCTCATCCCTTGAAAACTGGGAACCAGCAAGAACCAGCACGGGGAGAACTCAAGCCAGGTCACTCTGTGGAAATGCAGGGGGAATGTATTTCAAAATACTGAGAAGCCCTGGACATTCCTCCCCATCTGACAGGAGACAGATTGCACATTTCCATGAGAAGCAGCTGCTTACAGGTACAGGCTGCCTAAATAAACTGGTTTATAGTGGTTGGATTCTTTCTTTGATAAGGCATCTGGTGGAGCAGAAAAAAGGAGAAAATGTTTCTGTGCAGCCCCAAACAAGCACAAGGTTAAAGAAGTGAGTGTTGCAGCATTTGAGAAGAGGTTTTCAGGAGGGCCATGCATCCTGAAATCCCAGTTTCTTCCCTGTGCTTCAGGGGCTGCCTCAGAGCCCTTTTCCTGGAGAGAGGTTTGATCTTCACAGCTTCCCTGGGACAGGGCACAAGGAAGGGCAGCAGATGTCTCTGCTCTGCTCCTGGGAAAATATCACTGATTCCTGTGTAAGTGAAATCAGAACCTGCAGCTCCAAGTTACAGCCTGAATTTAGCAGCCACTGTCCCCACAGCCCTGCTCAGGCAGCTTTTCCAAGGGATCTGCTCACTCCTGCAGGTCCTTAAAATCCCCTCTACAGAGCCACCAGGATGGAGCTGAACAGAAACCAAAGCTATGGCTCGCTCTCCACGCAGGATTTATTCCTCATGTTGTCCAGAGATGGTTGAGGGTTGCAAGATGTTTTTATCTCTGATAATACTGGCAGGAAAATAATGCAATGAATGGTTCTGCTTTTTGTGAGAGAGGCCCCTGAGAGCTTGGCTGAGCTCTAGGGCAGTGCTGGGGGAGTGGAGCAGCCTCCTGAGGGTTAATTCCCTCGTGAGGGTGCTGAGCTTATCCCCAGATCCCTGACTTCCTCCATCAGGGACTCCAGGAACTGTTTGAAAACAGACATTTATTGAAGAGAGACATTTCTGAACCTAAGCAGGAGAAAAAGACAGGGACAACACATCTGGAGTGACTCCTGCTCTGCTTTTTTCCACTCTGCCCAGGGGAGTCAGGATGAAATCCCCGTGCTGGGGAAGGGAGCAGTGGTTTTCATGCCCACAAATCCACTTTGCACTGGTGGTGCTGGCTGGGGTTAAAGCCTGACAAACTTCAGGCTCATAAAAAGAGGCTGACAAAGCAAAGCAGAGAAAAGAAAAGCTTTCAAGACTTTCAAGCGAGAAACAAAGCAGCACTGTACAAAAATGCCTGGCTCTCCATTTGCCTGGAATCCCCAAGGCTGCTCTGCACCGGCAGGCTGCATGGCAATGCCTGATTAGCTTGCACTCTGTGTCCTCACTGTGCTGCAGGAGAGAGGGACAGGGCTGGCAGGGTTTGCAGCAGCTCCAAAAGTCCCAGCACTGCTGCAGTAAAGACCTGCCTGCATTTTGTAGCATTTCTTCCCAGAGAGAACAAGATCTGCCTGATGGATGGATGAATGCAGAGACCCAGAAACAAGGAACTCATAACTTGGATGGCAAGTTTTGTATGGAATGAGCTGAATTTAAGGTAGGTGGACTCATTGCAGGGGTAATCTGCACATTTTTTCAGTGGAGACTCACTGGAGTTTCAGAAAACCGCTGCCAGGATGTTCAAGCAAAGAAAGAGGTTGGAATGATGAGAGGAGCCCACCCAAAGCTGATTTGCAGGTAGTTCCAGGTCAGGCTAATCCTGTGCCTCAGCACTGAAGTGCTACAGAAAGCCTGAGACAGGCAGGTAGCAGTGTAGGGATAAAAACAGAGCTTGTTTTGTTCTAAGGAAGGGGGCTGGCCCAACTTTTGTACAGCAAGTTCCTTCCTGAGCTGATAAAGGCAGCAGCAGATTGAATATCAAGCCCTCTCAGGGAACACTGTGATGAAACCTGGGAGGTTTTGCCCAAAATCCTCCTGCAGAATTGCAGCTTCCCAAACTGCACCAACCAGCTCTGCTTGCCAACCCCCACAGACAGAAATTGCTGACACATGAAACCTTCACTTTTTGTATTTCATCTCTGTTTCTCTGCCACAAATGCTAATGAAATGACACGATCTGAGGCTGCAAAATGACACTGGTGCCTGGGCTCTCTCCCTGCTCTGCAGCCCAAAGACTGGGAATATCTGGCTTAACTTTTCTTTTGTGTGTGCTGCTGAATGGCCTGTGAAAACCTATCACATCCTCCATTATGTCTCGATACAGTTTAAAAATCTTCCTCTTTCTTTCTCACAACCTCTGCCAGAACAGCCTTCAGATCTTTGTTCTCATCCAGCTGGGTCCCAAGCCTGCAAGGAAACAAAAAGAAAAACTTCCCTGTGAGCTGGGGAGCTTCAAAGCAAATTTAGAACTGTCACCTCTGCTCCGGGGAAGAAACACCCAAACCCTGGAGCTGCGGTGATTTTATGAGAGCCCTGAGAAAAAGGCTGAGCACTCGTTCCTCCTCTCCCTGAGGGAGGAAAGAGCAATCCCGGCATGGAGAGAGGGAGAACATACCTTGTGCTGAATTCCTCCGCCTGAGATTCCAGGGACAGCTTGGACAGGACTGCAGGGAGCTCCTCTCTGTCACCCTCATGCAAGGGGAGGCTTGGCAGGGCTGTGGATTCAATCACAGAATGGAGTTTTAGTAAAACAGCAAATCAGTTTTGGCAGCACGCTGAGTTAATATCAAAAAACACTGAATAAATATTCTGTCAAATCATATACTTAATCTCTCAAATAAATATCTAATCTCCTAAATTCTGTGCTACATCCATAACATATCATAAATATATGACAGACCTATTTTAATTTCCTTCCATGATAAATTTTCATTTTAGAGCTAAATATGTGCCTAACGTGTAAGGAGGAAAACAATGAATCTGTAACATTGAAGTGACCAAAACAAGAGGTGTAAAACAGCTGGAAAGGATTAATTTGATGTTAATCTTGTAATTGTGTTCCAGATTATGACAGCTGTTGCTTCCTGAATGTCTGGGACAAAGCTTGCATGTGGCACCCATTGAAGTGACTTTTGTAAAGAACTTTGATCCTCAGCATAAACAAAATGTAGATTCTGTACTTCAAGGTGTATTTCAGACCAAGGTTCTAACTTAGGAATGCTTTCCTAAATAAAGCTATATCCAAAACATGCAGGTCTGGTCATTCAAAAAAAAAAAAAATCAGAATTTTCAGGGTTATAGAGAAAATACAATTCAAATTTACAACTGGGACTGGAGAAGCAAAACCTGTGACCGGTGAATCCCCAGAGAAGAAGGGGAACCAGAGAAGTGTTCAGGGAGCTCAGAAAGGAGTGCAGGAAGTGAGCACAGCTATTGCAGAGGATGCTGAATTTAACCCAGCACTGAGGTTAAATTCAGTTAAACACACCAGGGTGATCTCTGCTGTAGATAGAATGCTAAATAATTTTAGCAAACGTAAATAAATGGCTAAATATCTAAAATAATCAATAGCCAGCACTACTTACCTGTAGCCAGGTAACATGAGAGATGGATTTGTGTGGTTCAGCCCCAAATAAATTATAAAAATAAAAAAAAACAACTAAATGAAGAAAACAAGAGGCTGGAGCTAGCTGCAGTCCTTTTAACTGGGAATACAGCACCATGACAGTGAACAGCCAGGCTGCTTCCTGTGTTGTGATTCTACTGAACCCTGCAATTGCTGGTTTGTGCTTGTGTTGTCATGTTGGCACATTTCTGTATCCCTTTTCCCAATTCACATCCCTCATAACATCAAATATCTTCAAATGAGTACATTTGGTATTAAAACACTAAATCCTCCTCGTGTGGAATTGTCTGAAAGAACTTGGTTGGAAAGTACTGAACTCTGACAAAAACAAATGAGAAGAAAAGGCTGCATTGTGTAGCTAAAAAATGCTTTTGATCTTGAGGCTGTGCTTTACAGGGCTGAGGAAAACCTGGTGTTACTTACCTATCCCTCCTCTGGGATTATTCTTTGATAATTCAGAATTTGGATAAAGCAGGAAAAAAGCACAGAAAATGAAAAGCCTGAATAATTTTAAAACAGAACTGTGTTGTTTGCAGCTCCTTAGCATCATTATCTACTTCCCTTGAACTGAAGAGACCAGAAACATTAGATTAGCAATTAGATCAGCTCTCTCCAATTTTACACTTTCAGAAAGAAAGGAAAATATTATGCTAATTAGCAGGTTCTCTAGTCTCTATTTTGTATTCAAGCTTTTAATTTCTTCTTATTTCCTCAACCACTGGCATGCAAGCATTGAGATAACCTCCATACTCTGCTGAAGAGGTGTATCACAGACTTGTAGTTCTTGTACAAACTCCAGCTCTGGCACATCACAAAGCTCTCATCAAAGCAGGGGAGTGAAATTGATTGTTACCTACTCATCTTGTGGATTTAGAGAGGATTTCTCCTTATTAGCCTTACTGCCAATCCTTTTCTACTTTTTCTTTTAGTCCTTAAGCAGAGGAGATTAATGAACTAAATATTTGGTGAGAAGGGATCTGTCACACTGGTGAAAACAGCTCCTTCCTCTGGCTATGAAAGCTACCAGAGGGGAGTTACTACACCTTTACTACAGCACGACAAAACTTGACCAAAAAGCCTCAGGACCTGGAAAGTTTGTATCTCTTGGAGCTTGCAAGGGGAATCTGTGATAACAGAACACATCAACACTTTACCAGGTTCTGTAAAAGTCTGAGTACTCAGAAACTCAGTTAAATTCTGTACAAAACAGCACCAAAGTGCTCCCAACACTATTGGGATCTAAATCTTTCTGCTCTCAGTAAACAGAGGTGAGACAACTCAAATAATCAGTGCTCATAAAAAGACAACATGAGAATGAGTCAGGGTGGGCTGGAGCCCCTTCCAAGGACACAGCAATCCTGTTCCAAGGAACAAATCCATGTTTTACAGACAGGAGTAGGTTTGAAGCACCTATTCAGTCCCCACTCAGTATAAAGGTTCCTCTGAAGGGCTCATCCAAGGTCTCTGCTGAGCTCTGTGGTCCCTCTGGTCACCCTAACTCAGCCTGACACCGCCCCAACATTTGCCAAATTGAAATTCCCCTCCCTGCTGCTCATCTTCTGGCATTTGAAGTCTTTTTACTTTATGAAAATACACATAAAAAGGGAAACCACTGGAAAAAATTCCTTAAGAATATGTGCCATTTTATTGGTTTAGACACTTTACAGAATCAGAGTCCTTAAGCAATAAAGGATCTGATCAGGGAAATAAAAATTTAACATCCACCATGAATTCTTCTTCTTTAACTACGCCAGGGAGGCTTTCATATTTATAGCAGGAGATTATCACGTTCATGGGATAATAAATTACACCAGATCTAATTACTTCATCACCAGCAATAGTTTTTCATAGGCACTGACAGGCCTTAAATTGGGATGTGTCCTTTAATTCTGCTCTTAACCTTCAGCTGAATCCCTCAGGCACTAGTGCAAAGGGAGCTCTGGGCCTGGGGGCAACACAGAGCAGGGGAAAGCTTTTTTCCTGGAATTATCCCATGGAAACACCTTGCAAAAATCCTGGTCCCTCTTAGACCTGTGGGAAAATCTTCTTCAATTAAGAAAGGCCAGGGTTTTGCCTCCTGCCTTGCTCCTGGCTCTGAGCAGGTCCCATCACCAGGTGCAAGGTCATGCGCTCGGCTGGGTTTGGCAGGTGGATCCTGAATGTTGTCGCTGTCTATAAAGCCCAGAGGTGAAATGGGGGATGAGAGGGCTCCCCCTCACCTTTTCTGCTCCTCAGGGCAGGTTTCTGGGCAGTTCTGCTGCTCCCTAGATCCACCTGCAGCTTTTCAAGCTGCTGTTCCAAGATGTCACTCTGCCACCTTTCCTCTTGAAGCTTCTTCTCAGCTTCCAAGACTTTGTTGCTGCTTTCCTCCAACCTGACAGGCAAAAAAAAAAAAGGAAAAAAAAGAAGAAAAAAAGAGAGTTCAGCTCATTTGTGTCATGTCTACATCAAATCAGTCTTGGTACTGAATCCTGCTTCTTCCTGCAGAGCTCCCAACAGAAGGGAAAGAACTTTCCATGCATCCAAAGCCAGAAATCCCAGCAAAATTGTATCAGGTGACATCTTCTAAATATGCAAATGAGAATTAACTAATGAGTACAGTTGGAAACAATGGGTTTGTTACTGGAGGTTGCTCAGATCCCTTAATTCTGGCTCCCTGTGTGAATTCACCCCTCAGATGAGCAGGAAAGCTGCAGATTGCTGAGGAGAGACACATCTTTTATTACAGGAATAATAAACTGCATTTTTGAGACACTCTGGGAAAGCTTGGAAGGCAAATAGTTTATAAAAACACAGTCTAACATTTGCATCAGTTATCTGAGGAAGGAAAGAAACTTGAGGCTGCTTTTAATAAACTTGGGCATTTAGATATGACCATGGATGGGAGAGGGTGGAAAAGAAACTGGTGGTTACATCACAAAAAATCAAGTTGGCTCTCTCCATCCTGCATAACCTCTCAGAATATTAACTGCAAAAATCTGGTGTGCACCCACAGATGCTGCCACTTGGGGCAGTGATTGACACCAAGCAATTCCAAGGAGTTTAAAGCTAAAAAGAAACACAGATTGACTGGATTGGAAAAAAAAAACCCCACTGGATTGGACTGAGTAAGAGAATTTCCCTCCTCACCCCATGGGTGGAAGCTGGTTACCCTCTGAATCAAGAGACTTGATTAGTTTATTTCCCTCCTAGCTGGCATAACTTAAAAAAAAATAAAATATTACAACTCTAATAAAATTACATCACTGGCTTAAAAATGTAGCTCCAGGCAAGACTCGACCTCCTGTGGCAGTGAATTCCCAGGCTGGTGATGTGCTCTGAGACATTTTATTCCTCTCAGTGGTTCTGCATTCACTAAACTTTCATTTGACCCTGGCGTTCCTCTGGCATCCAATTTAAACAAAAAGTGGAGGAAAAGTGGCAATATCTGTGGGATTTTTTAATGGAATCATCTGCCAATAGGACTAATTTAAACTAAAATGCTGTAGAAAAATCTCACTTGCAGCAATTCCCAGGGCTCTTCTCTTGATTTAAGCATTATCTGTGTTACCTGAGCTTTGTTACACCCCAGCAGTGGAGGGAAGAGGAGGAAAACCTGATTTTTAAAAATACACTCACGTTGAAATCTGACTGGTGCTATATTACCCTGAGGTCTCCCAAGAGTTATTGCACACAGCCTCACAAAATTTATGTTACCTGCTTGATAAATGTGTGATAACCGTGGAGCTGCTGAATCATCAGTTTATGGCACATTTTACAAGCAACTGTGCATTTCATTGACTCTGTTTTTCATTATCCCATATTGGTGGTGGCCACACTTCAGTTACCACTCACAGCCCCATCCTCATCTGACTGCACAGCTCTATTAAAGCCACTGGGCTTTCAAACATGAAAAAGATTTTTCCCAGCATGTATTTCCAGAATTTAGTGTTAAAAGCACCTTTTCCACAGTTCTAAAAGAAAAATCCATTTTTTTCTGACTGTGATTAATCGTGCAGGACAGAAGTTATACAAGTGAGAATGATAACTGTGGTAAATTTAAGCAAGTAAGCATACAGTGTTTATTGTATTGACAAGCACACAGACAGGAATATATTTCCAATATTGGAATACAGATTTGGGAATCAAATAACACATATTGGGAAAAAAAAAACAGTAGCTGAAAGGTGGCCAAAAAGAAATTCCTTTGGTTTCCCTTCTCTCCTAAAACATGGTTGGCTTTTAACATCATCTTACATTAAATTGAATCATAGAAAATAAAATTTAAAAAAAAAATCACTGCTACGTCTCAGTTAAACCAGAATAAATTCATTTAGAAAAGGATACAATGAAATTTAAAAAGAATGTGAAAAGCTTTGGAAGAAAATATTATACCAATAATTACAGTATTTACTACTGATGAATAATATTGCTGCCTCAATAAGGCCATGCATACATAAATACAGCAATTCTGGTTTTATCTAGGTGCAGCAAGCTGGAAGATGGCTCCTTTTTTTTCTGCCCTTTGTTCTAAAAGAATAATAAAAAAGAATGAATCATCAGCCAGGCAGGGAAATTGAGCAGAAAAAAATTGAAAAGCCCCTATTTAAGGCAAGGATGGCAGCGTGTGATGTGCTGTAGTGCATGTCCCAGACTCTGCAGTGTTCCCTGATCCCAGCACCCTGCAAAGGATGCTGCTGGGATGAGGCTGTACCTTTTCTGCAGCACAGTCACCAGCTCCAGGAGCTCGCTCCTCTCCACTTCAGCAGCCTGGCACAGAGCCCTCTGCTCTGTGTTCTCTCCTGGCAGCACTTCCCAGTCCAAGCTGTCCGTGCCGGACCTGAGGAAAGCGCAAGCACAGAGAGTCTGTTTCCCACTTCTTAAACGAAGGAAATTAAACAAAGGCAGGGTTTGAGCACTATCTCCAACACACTTGTCTGAAGGTGAAGGCAGAATGCAGAGCCAGGCTCACTACCTCCCCCCAGCACCCATCTCTAGACTGCAATAAATAGAACAGAAATATTTAGATATAAAGTCGCAAGGAGTGTCATTAGAAAGTTGCTTCCAGGATGCTTCCCCTCCCCATCACCCCTGAAAACAAACTTCCACCTCTGATCAATTCATTATCCCTGACTCTCCTCCCACTGCTACTGCCAAAGTAAAAGGAGATTGTATCTCCCAAGTGCTACACTAAACTATTAAATGGCCTGCTATTGATTTTCTCCCCCTGAAAGGCTTCAGGCAGCACTTGCACAATGGTTGTTCTTGTGTCCAATATGTGCTGAAAGGAAGGGGCAGTTTTCCCATGTATCCCATTATTATGTACATCATTTCTTCTCTGACCTATCTGCTTTCAGAAAGATCTTTGGAACAACAAAAGCAGGAGAAATCTTGGTGGTTGGGAGAAAAAATGGAAAAGACTGGTGTCAAACAAGCAATCAATTACAAAATTAAGACAGAAATCAGATGTTAGAGCTCTTGGACAGCTTCAGGTAGAAGGGATGGTGCAAGATTTCATTACAGAAACAAGGCAGGCAGGACGAGGATTTCCAGCAGCTTGAAGAGCACGGCAGAGCACTTCCCTTGCTGATAACAGTTTACATACCCACCTTCCAGATGGGGTGGTACCCCTGAGGAAGAAAGGCTCTGTGGCTGCTGACTCCACGAGCACGTGGCCCATCGTGGACACTGTGCTGGGGGGAGGAAAGCTGCAGTAAGGCCTTCACACAGGGCAGTCTCCCCAGAATTCCAGTCCCTTCCCAATGCCTGTGTTTTGTAGGGAAGAGCTCCCTCACCTCACACCTTCACCCAGCCCTGGGAGAGGCAATCCCAGCTCCAGGCAGTTTGATGGTGTTTGCATGTCACAGATTTCCTAATGAAGTGACACCACGCACAACTTGTATCTCCCAATGTCCTTACAAATGTATTTTCCATAGCTTTATGGCATCTGCTTTGTGAAAACCCTCAGGAGGATCTGTCAGGCTCGTTGTAAGAGAAGGAGCTGATAACACCAGAGTACCAATGCCAGCCTGGATGAGGTTTGTGTATAATGATGTGTGCTTGGGACACCCCATTTCAGTGCGTGTGTGTTTAGTACACCCCATTTCAGTGTGTGTGTGTGTGTTTGGGACACCCCACTTCAGTGTGTGTGTGTGTTTGGGACACCCCACTTCAGTGTGTGTGTGTGTTTGGGACACCCCACTTCAGTGTGTGTGTGTGTTTGGGACACCCCACTTCAGTGTGTGTGTGTGTTTGGGACACCCCACTTCAGTGTGTGTGTGTGTTTGGGACACCCCACTTCAGTGTGTGTGTGTGTTTGGGACACCCCACTTCAGTGTGTGTGTGTGTTTGGGACACCCCACTTCAGTGTGTGTGTGTGTTTGGGACACCCCACTTCAGTGTGTGTGTGTGTTTGGGACACCCCACTTCAGTGTGTGTGTGTGTTTGGGACACCCCACTTCAGTGTGTGTGTGTGTTTGGGACACCCCACTTCAGTGTGTGTGTGTGTTTGGGACACCCCACTTCAGTGTGTGTGTGTGTTTGGGACACCCCACTTCAGTGTGTGTGTGTGTTTGGGACACCCCACTTCAGTGTGTGTGTGTGTTTGGGACACCCCACTTCAGTGTGTGTGTGTGTTTGGGACACCCCACTTCAGTGTGTGTGTGTGTTTGGGACACCCCACTTCAGTGTGTGTGTGTGTTTGGGACACCCCACTTCAGTGTGTGTGTGTGTTTGGGACACCCCACTTCAGTGTGTGTGTGTGTTTGGGACACCCCACTTCAGTGTGTGTGTGTGTTTGGGACACCCCACTTCAGTGTGTGTGTGTGTTTGGGACACCCCACTTCAGTGTGTGTGTGTGTTTGGGACACCCCACTTCAGTGTGTGTGTGTGTTTGGGACACCCCACTTCAGTGTGTGTGTGTGTTTGGGACACCCCACTTCAGTGTGTGTGTGTGTTTGGGACACCCCACTTCAGTGTGTGTGTGTGTTTGGGACACCCCACTTCAGTGTGTGTGTGTGTTTGGGACACCCCACTTCAGTGTGTGTGTGTGTTTGGGACACCCCACTTCAGTGTGTGTGTGTGTTTGGGACACCCCACTTCAGTGTGTGTGTGTGTTTGGGACACCCCATTTCAGTGGGTGTGTGTTTCCTCAACATGAATTCAGCTGCCCAAAGACAAGTCCCTGCAGACTTACCCCAGGTTTCCTTACTTTAGGAAGATAATACTTTATGTAGCTAACAAGAGGATAAAGCCTTAATATTGTGGAAGAGCTAGATGCCTTCTAGGCTAGGAGTGGTTAATCCTAAAATCAAGTTATACTGACAAGGCTTGGCCCTGTCTAAAAATGCAGATTTTTACTCTGCCATCTCCAAAGGGTTTAGCATCTAGTTATAGGGTTTTTCATTTCACCTGTTCTGATAGGAAAAGATGATTCACTGCAGTGAACTGAGAGTTCATCAGCATATTAAAGTTAATGGATTGAGTGAGCCTTGCTGACCAAGTTGTTAACAGCTCTCAGAGTTTTTCAGGATCATTCATTGCCCACCTGACACGTCAGCTCTTTCCAGGACAGAGCCCTTGGCCCTGTACACAAGCAATAATTTATGCATTGCACTTAGTGGTTTTCACAAAGCCATTACCCAGCTTTGGTTCCTGCTTACCATCAGCAGACATGTGAGGTTAAAAAAAAAAAAAAAAAGAAAAAAAATAAAAGAAGGGGTATAAAGTACAGGTTTGCTCCAGGAGAGCACAACTTCTGCAAAGATAGAAGGGGGAGAATTAAAACAGTAAGAAGAGTGAAGAAACTTTCAAATTAAGGATGTTTTAACTAACTCAAAACCACAGAATTCTTCTTAAATTGTATAGTAATTTTCTACTTAGACTCAGGGATACTCAGCTGATTTTAAAGCCAAATTTGGTGCCTAAAGTAATGAGGTAAGAAATTACACAGAAGAGATCAGCTGTAACTTTAACTTGATGAAAAATTTCTCCCATCCCCATCAGACCAGTCTCAAATCCTCACTATCAATTAGACCACGAACTCTTTAGCAACAAATTCAGCAGCAATTTAATATGAAAGGATATAACTTGCTGTGGTACCATGGTCCCTTTATACAGCCAGAGTGACCCAGAGTCACATCAGTATAAACAGAAATCAGATTTATTGCTGCACTAAGATTAGTAATTTACACAGTCTTCAGCGAGGCTTTAGAGTGTGTTTGGTAAGAACAAATTATATGGTGTGTTTTCAACATTTCTGCATGTAAATCCTACTCAAAGAGCATTTATTGATTTAAATAATGCCCCAGTGATTTAGTGCCTACCTAAAATGGCACTTTGCATTCATTCCCCACCCTGCTCACAGAAATCTGCTCGTTAGAAGCCCCGTGTCTCATAAGGGGAAAGACTCCCAGGCACTTAAGCTGACCACGTAAACATTATCTGAGCTGCAGCAGGAGAAATAGCTGCACTACCACCATGCCAAATCTAGTCATGTCTGCAAGTCTGCACATCCTTCTCAGTTCCAGGACAAAAGCCCAAGAGATAATGTGATTAGAGATTCCCATATATTGCAAACAGGCTGCCACAGCTGTTGGCACAAAGCACTTGTGGTTTGATGAATCTCCCTGGGAAAACCAGGCTCCTGATCACTCAAACAACTTGAATTATTGACTTTCTGGTCTTCTTACCGGGCAGATTCTGTCCTTCCAGCCTTGCTACTGCCTGATCCCTCAGGTGCTCCTGAGTGCTCAGAGCATGGTAGATTAGCAGCTTCTGACTCGTCCTATGGATGGGCAGATTTCTTCTGTTAATGGTGGAGCATGTTATAAAACCAATCACAGTTCAGTGGAAAACAGCTGCACCAATGCCAAATCAGCAGCTTTTGATTATTGCTAGAAGCAAACCAGAACTTTTGATTTACAGGACCTCCTCAGGAGCTTTGCTTTAATTCCTATCCATTACAGGATGAAAACAAAGCAGAAGTCAATAAAAACTTCCATACAAAATTTCATACAAAATCAAAGTGCACTAATAACCCACAGTGCAGCATCGTCACTGTCAGCACAGCTCTTTTGTGTCCCTAACCCAGGTTTGATGCTGGATTCAATGCTCCAGCCCCCATTCCTGAGGTATCTGGCAGATTCACAAGCTGACCATAACCCCAGGAGGCTTTTGGATCAATGGGAATGGGATGCCTAAACAGTCTTCACAAATCCTGACTGTGAGACAGCAGGAGCTGGGAACCTGCTGATGTTGGTGTGACACATTTGTTTGCCTCCTCCTCCCAGCGGCCAAGGGCGCTGAACACTGAAGAGTCCCCAGTGCAGCCCCAAGTCCTGCTGTCAGTCAGTGACAGTCCTGACACGTGTGGCTGGGATTGGTATTTCTGTGTTTGCTGCTGCTGAAACAGCCTGAACTTATGCCCCAAGGACCTGAGGAGTTACAAAAGACAGTTCCTGCTTTATCATTCCATCAGGAAACACTGTCAGGACAGGGATCACTGTCTGGAGGCAGCAACCATCTCAGATAACAAGGGACAAGGAAGTGGAAGAGCAGATCTAAAGTGATTTCCAAGTGTTCTCCTCTAATTAATTTGTTCTGCCTACCTGAAACGTGAGTTTCTCAACCTCTGTCTCCAGTGTTTTAACCTTTGCTTCTCGTTCAGCCACCAGCTCCCTGAGATTGTCTTCCATGATGTTTTGTCTCTGAATCCCAGGGTTCAGGTGCTGCCCTACCACCTGCTGAGGCTCCTTGTTCTTATCCTCCTTCTGGCTCAGGCCCTTTAAGAGCTCCTGCATTTGTTTCTGCTGGGTCTGGTAAAATAGAAACAGGTGAGATCTTTATTTTGTACACAATGATTATTTTAAACCACCCTCACCAAGACAAATATCTATTTAGGAATGGTAGGGCAAGCGCATTCCTTTGGTGGGAGCACACTGGTGTCACTGGTGCCACTTTGGCAATTTGATTTATTATGTTGACCTAAGCAATGGATTCAATTTGCTGCCAGCTCTGCTGCTCAGTGTAGCAGAAAGCAGAGCAAAAAAGACTGGCCTTTGATAAAGAAGTGACTTTTCCCACAAACTGAATGAAACTCAAGATTTCAATGTGCTTTTTGTGGAATAAGAATGTGATCAGATTGTGTGATAGCGATATTAAAAGCTGAGGGCTCTATGGGGTGACAGATACGAGGCCAGGCTGTTTCACCAGTGGTTTTGGAGGCTTTTTCCACACTGACAAATCTAATACCTGTCAGGCAGTTTGTTCTGTCAGGCCAACAACCTGCAAGTGTTTTTGTGATAGGAGGGATAAAAGAGATTAACCATCCCTTCCCAAATAAACTTGCATCTTTCTGTACTAATTTTAGTGGGAATACTCAGAAAAAGTGACAAGTTGAGAAGTGTTCTTTGGCTCCCCTAATCTGCTGGTCAGCAGTGCCTGGTGGGAGAAGGGTGAATGCCAGCTGAGCTAAAACCTACCTACAGCAGCAAGGAAATCTGGGTGGTTCCAAACTAGTGAGGAGCTGGATCAGGAAACACAGAATTAACCCTGCTAGGAGATGGCAAATTCTCTAATATATTTGCTATTTTAATTGAGGAAGGCTGTCTAGAACCATGGCAGGACAAAGCCAGCAGCCATTTATTTCCTTCTCAGCATCTTTGAGCCTTTGCTAAAACTCTTGGTTTTGAAGAGGCCAAATCCTCTCAGCTCCAGCTACTGCATGTGAGTGTACACATGGTTTAGTGCTCATGGTTTAGCTTGTGTGTTGTGGGCTGTGTAGCAAAATAAATGGAAGTTTTGTTACAAACAAAAAAACTCCTGCAGGACTGTAGGCATTCTAAGGAAAAATAAATCTACCAGAGGAGCTGGAAGCAGAACAAAGAACACAGGCCAGTGCCTGGGGTCAGGACTGAAGCCCTTCCTCTACCTGCTGCAATCCTTCTGCAAAATGTTTCTGCCAGTCCCTGCAGCTCAGGGCCACTTGACTGCAACTGTCACACCCGATGCTGTCTCACAGCCCTTACATGACCTGATCCAAAATGCAGAAGGACTTCAGCTGACAAGGAAACCTCTGGCTGCCACAGTTGGATCCATCAGGCTCCCGTACACCCTAAGGTTATGTGTGCCATGAAGTGATATCATGTTTTATCACCTGCAGAAACAGGGCTGGGACCAACAGACACAGACTGTACCAGCAAGGCATCTAGGAGCTCATCATCGTGTTTCCCTTTCTCCAGCAAGGTTCCAATCTGTCCGTTCAGTATCTTCACTTCTCCACACAGCACTTGGTTCCTGGCTCTTGAGGCATCCAGTTTTTTTTTCAGTTCCTCATGGTTTTTTTGGAGAGTGTTGTATTGCTCAGCGAGTTTCTGCAGTGATGCAAAAGGAAATTAAAGTTACAACTCATCACCAAGCCCCAAGTGCTGAGGTGAGCAAAAACAATCACACATTACCTGGTAGGATCTAAAAAATGGGACTGGATTACTGTATTATTCCTAAGGAAGTAGAAATTATAAATATTACTTGCCAGCATCCAAAAAGAGTCTGTCTGCTCAGGAATCCAGGTGGCCTGGGTGGATTCCCCATTATTCTGGATTCTGATTCTCCATTATTCTGTTCAAATGGAGAAGCCCAGAGCCCTACAGATACAGGAGGTCTGAGGGGGTGTCTGTATTTGGGATGAAGAATGCACACCTGGCCAGAGGGGTGCTAAGGGGTTTGGCTGCAGCAGGGCTTGGCTGTGAAGTGGGGCAGAGCTTTCTGCAGCAGATCAGGTAAGTTTGTGAAATGGTTTTAGCTAGGGTGTAACACACCCTGAAGGCAGGAAAGTTATTACACACTGCTCCACACCCAAACAGGACTCTGTCTGTTCACAGGATTTTACCTCCAAAGATTCCCTCTTCTCTTTTTCCAAGCTGCGAATCTTCAGCAAATTCTTCTCTTGGACTGACAACTTCCTTGAATGAGGAAATGCCAGAAATCCCTCATCCACCTCAAGCAGAGAAGCTGTGATCTTGTTTTGACTCAGTTTATGCTCCAGCTCTCGAACCTATGGCACAATAATGACAACTCACCCAGAGTTTTACCGGGGAGGACAAAAGAGGAGCCAAAGGAAGCTCAGATTATTTCTCGATAATCCGTTTTTCTGTTTAACTAACACAGAGCAGTGTCTGGTCTTTCAAATTGAAATTTAACTGCTAATAAACGTGCAGATTTTAGGGCACCTGTGCAGGAAGGAGATCTGAGCTTTTGTGGAGCCACAATTGGAGGGCAGATAGGTACTCCAGAGCATTTGGAATTGCTGCTGTATGAATCCAAGTGAACTCAGCGTGTCAACTGCTCACTGCAGGCTCCTTTCCTAGGCAGTAGAAGGAACTGGGCACTGCCACAGCTCAGTTCCTCTGCCCTGTTTTGGAGGAACCTGCCTCACTTTTGATCCAGTGAGTGGATTTACAAGATCCCCACTGACTACAGAAGGGGCCTGAGGAGTCTGGATCAAAAAGAAATCTGTATGTTAGAATAGAGAACAGTAGGAACAGTTTTTAGACAAACCTCAGGCAGGGGATATAACAGGGGGAAATGGAATTTGCTCAAGGGAAAGCAGAGGTTAAAAATCTCAGTCAATCAGAGTGCAAAAAAATCACAGTTTGATGGCATGTAATTGAACAGCAGAAAAATAGGAAAATTATGTGTCAAATTGCCTGAGAGAAGTTTTATTTAGATGCAGAAAAAACTGCCTGCCTGCCTCCTGCTGACATTTCAGCTAAACTCTGCCCTTCAGAAGACTCAAGAGTTAAAGATTTTACTGAAGTTCCTGAGGGAACAACTTGAAAACCTGATCTGGCCTCAATTCTTCCCATCTGACTCCAAGCACTGAACAAAGGTGTCTAAGTCAGAGCACAGACACTGACAGGGCTCCTTCTGTTCTTGGTGGAAAGAGGCACCTTCAAAACACCCTGGGACTTGAACTAGGCTGCCACAGCTCTCCAAGGTCACTGAACTCCTTCCTTTGACACAGATGTGAAAGATTCCCAGCTGAAATACCAAAGCTTGCATGGCTGCAACAGTCATTAACATGATGTGCACACATCAGCACAGAGTTGTTGAGAATTAATGAAAACTAACAGTACTTTTACCTTCAGCTGAGGTGATATCTCTACTTAGAAAGAGAATTCCAGCTGGAATGGCACCGTGCAGGGTCGTAACTCACCCTGGTTTGGAGAAGAAGAATTTGCTGAGCTCGTCCACGCCAGCTGCCAGAATTGGTCAAGAGACTTTGGATATTCACATCTTCCCCAACTTCTTTGGCTAAAATCTGGGAAAAGGGATTAACATCAACAATAAGGCTTAAAAGGATGTGTTTGGGTGAGGGGAGGAAGAGCACCTCTCTCTAACAGGAAACACAAGCAGTTTTCAATATACACAATTGTTTTTGATATGATGAATATTTACCCCTGACTAACCAGGAACCGAGTAGAGATATTGTCTTAATACACACCAGGAATTGAGCCAATCGCCCTTGCAAAATTCTGACACAGCTAAACTTAGTATGAAGAGCATTTAAATTATTTATAAAAAGGTCAGCAGAGTTCTATTTTTAGGACCATATTCTCTACTCTGATCTGCATTGCAGGTCTCCCACACAAAGTAAGGAAACCAAAGAGAATCAGAGCACATAATAACACTTAAATCCATCATGAATCAGAGGAAAAGGTTATTCTGGATGTCATTCCAACAGACTCCTAAAACACGTGCTTTAGTTCAAGCATGGCCTTTAATCCCATTGATTCCCATGGGACTGGAACCTACATTAAAAGTAAATACATAATTAAATGTATGGGAAAGGAGGAATGAACTCAGAACTCTTCTGCTGATCTGGGACTTTAAAACTCAGAAGGATTTGTGTCCACTGGACAGTGGGAATATCAGGCACAGTGGGGGCAAAACATGAGATCTCTGTGTCCAGGAGCACAATTTCAATACCAACCCCCACCCTTGTGCCTTCCTCACCTCTCTGCTCTACTGGAAGGGACAACCAAAGGCCAAAAGCCTCCCAGTTTCTCAAGACTGAAGCTCCTGCAGGGGTCCCAGCCCCAGACAGCTCCCTGCAGTGGTACCTTTTGGGTCAGCTTCAGTTCCTGTTTCACGTTCTGGAGCTGGTTCCGATATTCCGTCACTTTTATATTGGCTGTGCTCAATTTTTCCTGCAGTGCTTTCACCTCTGGACTTTCAGCCTTTGAGGAGAAGAATGTACTTGGTGAGGACAGAACCCTCAGGGAAAAGCTGAAGTGATTAAGATCCATGGATCTGTTAGGAGCACTGAATTGTTCTTTTCCAGACCTAATTTATGGGGCATAGAGGAGGTACAGGGGAATTTGGTTCCAAAACTGTGACGGGGATACATCCTTGTTCTACAAAGGAACTGAGTATCAGCTGCTGATTTCTTCATTTCACCTACAATTCCTACCAAGTTTCCTTCCAGTATTTTCAGAGTTGATTCCTTGATTCCTGCAGCATCGCCACCAAGGGAATGGATTTTTTCTGTGGCTGCCTGTAGCTGGAAAAGAACCCCATTGTTAGTGTGGAATGGATGCAGAGAACAGCATCACCCCAGGGAGTATTAATTAGCAAAAAAAGTATAACTTGGATGTTTATTTACTCTAAAAAAATCCAAAACCCCTTTATTTTCCCTTATTTTTTAACACAATCAGTAGGGAAGCATAATTATTTTTTCTGAAATGCTTTCCAAAGAATCATGTTATATTTTACTGTGGAATAATTTCAGAAGATGTCTCTAACTTGCTGAGATGAGATTAAATTTTGGGTATGGAAACTTCTGAGGCATTTTGCCACCAAAAGTACCTCAAATTAATGTTTATATACATAAATCCAAAGCTTGTCCAGCCCAGAATATTTCATAAAAAGAAAATAGTTCTACTCACTAGAGGAATATAAAAGGAGAAATCTACCTGGCACCCTATAACTGAGATTTAATGGTGTTAAGGCTCTTTTTCTTTAGCTGGGAGCTCCAAAGTAGCATTTTTTTAACCCATGAAGAATAAAGACCGTCTCCTCTTACTTGCCACTGCAAAGGAAAACAGACATACAACCCCTCCTGCTCTGGATAATGCCCTATGTTGCTGTTACAAAGGTTTCTAAATGGATGAGAGGACAGGAATCTGGGCTGGAAAGGGCAGGAACTGCTGCTTTAACATTCTGGGACTTCATTCTTGGAGGTGGGTGGATAATCTTGATTATTTTCCTGAAATGAAGAAGGCTCTAAGGAAGAGCTCCTTCATTAAAGGGGCATCTAGGGAAAAAACTACCTCGGAGAAAGCTCTAATTTCACTCTTTTTCATGTGTTAGGGCCACTCTTTCTATCCAGTTCATAAAGTTTTTTAGTCAATGGGCTGAGAATGAGGAATTTCAGCTGGAGCTGGCAGTTGCTGGCTCAAGTTCTGAGGAAATTTTCTGCAAGCATCCCTTTGCTTACATGGCCCATCCTTAGCCAAGTGATTGTTCAGTGGCCACACCTTCCATTGTGTTTGGGGCAACATAATTGTAGTAAAATACTTATGACTTACAGATTTTTCAGTTTTCATGCAAGCAAAGAGCTAAAAATATGTAAAATAACAGCGTTTTCTACCTATCACTCCACATTTTTGATAGACACCTCCTAGAGTCAAACTCAGCTTTCATTTCACACATCATTTACATCTTCATTTTCTTCCTGAAATATTTGTACTCCTTTGTTTTTTGGGCCAAAATCTGAGAACATTTAATGTTTCTGTTTGAATAATGGTCATTACACTTCTGCAGTAGGGGAATAAAACCAAGTTGATTTTTCCTTAAATTATTCATTAATTGCTCCACTACTTGGGATTTTGTAGGTCCCAAACTACACCTGGTACTTGGTTGCCAACTGCCAACTGTTTGACAAAGCCCCTCTGACCAGAACACTGGAGATTTATGCAGGAATTCCCCAAAATTTAATTTAATCTGCGACTTCTTGACCTTTAAGGTAGCTGGGCTGCAATTCAGGCAGATGCACGGCTCATGACAATAAATGATGGTGAAATACTGAGTCAAAACGCATCTGTCAGCATTATTGATTCATTTAACTGATGTCTTCTCAGAAAGCAAAGTTCAGAAAAAAATTAAAAATTATAAAAAAACCCCAAAATCACCAATACTGTGTAAGGAAGAGGAGCAGTAGCCAAAGGACAAAGCAAATATTGACATCAGGACTTTTCATTTTCAATTCAGCAGCCACCTGAGTAAAATGACTTCTGTGAAAGGTTGGCAAAAAGTCACAGTAAACCAGAAAATTTAATCTGCCTGAGTGAAGATCTGCTGTCTTATGTGATGTAGTTTGGTGTTGTCTCAGTTCTGTAAGTACTTATTCCAGAAAGAAGCTTTCATTACGAGGATGACAAAAGCTTAGAAGAATAAATAACTAATTACTGACTGGTATTAATGAGGTGGGAATGTCAGATATAAAGGTGTGAAATTTGCTTCTCCTCACAAAAAAATAAATAATAAGAGAAATATCATTGCCAGACTGGTAGAAAAGTCTCTGTGCTTTTACAAATGAACATTCCTAATTGCTGTTTAATAAATCCTTGACTCATTATGACTTGGGGATATCCTTTCCTAGCTCCTCCTGTCTGAAGAGGTGAAATTTCAGGGACAGAAATGACCACAACCCAAAGTACACAACAACTTAAGAGCAAATTCAACACTGGGACATGAATCAAACCCATTTTCTATCCCAGAGGTTGGATATACATGTATTAGGGTGCAAAAAGAGAACAAGAAAAACGTCTCACTTCTCTCTCCAGCTCCTTGACTTTGTAATTCAGCTGCTTCACTCTGGCTCTCTCACTCTCAAACTCAGCAGTTATCTCACGGTTCTTTTTGGCCAACTCAACTATTTTAGTGGCTGCCACGTCTCCAGCTATACCAGACACCCCTGTGAAGAACACATGAAAGCAGAGGGCACATCTTACAGGCAGGATTCAGAACAAACCACGCTTTTGTTCTCTGTCACAATGTACTTTCATTGTCTCATCCCTTCCTCTCAGAGCTGTGCCAGGCACTTAAATGAACAAGTGAGGGCAGAGATGTCAGAGGTGCCAGCTGGATGGGTTGGTCCTTTGATTCAGCAGCCCACCGTGACCACATTTCCCACTGTGGCAACAGCCACGTGTCACAGGGCCACAACAGTGGTCACAGCAACATGATTACCTAGAGAGGGCAGTGGTGTTTCCTGCTCACCGCTGGGAAGGACAGCTGGGAACAGGATTTTTTTTGCATTATCACAGAAAAAGGCAACACTCTGCTTTGCCTGCTTGTTTACTAGTGGAGGAGCTGCTGGAGCAGAGGTGTGAACATCTCTAGACACCAGTCCTCAAAGGTCAGGCACAATATTACAGCTGGGTCCTGGACAAGGTCCAGGAAATTTCATTGTGCCTATTTATAACTCCCTTGGGATTACACAGGGAGCTTTACTGGATGATTCTTTTAATTGCTCTTTTAAACAGCCATGTCACTGGCTCCCTCATCAGGGAGGGTTTGATAAGTGCCACAAATGGAGCAAAGCCCAGGCCTGACTGTTGTGTCACCTGGCTCTGGTTAACAGCACACAGGTGAAGGAAAGCTCTTGTACAAGTGCAAAATCAATCTCATGGCAAACAATGCCCACAGAAACCTCCAGCTCAGCAAGGAACATGAGCTTGCAACAACAAACCCTTGGTGGGGAGGGGGGGGTGAAGACTGAACTTGGCTGCTGTCATTCCTCTTGACTCTTTCATCCTCCTTCAGAGCTCTGCAGTAATCAGTTTTCTTTGATATTCATGAACTGGGGTAGGATGAGAGGTGAGAGATCACTCACAAGTGAATGCTGAGGCCCATAGACCCCTGAGACATCAATGGGGCTACACAGAACACAGCTGAGAACAGAATTTGTTTCTATATCACTATTTAAAAAACTTGTAAAGAAAATAATTTATTGTTTTAAATGAACTTATTTTAAAAGCATTTAAAATGCTTTTTAGAAAGCACTTAAAACCAATTCCTTATTTTTAAAAACATTTCCACTGTTCTCACTTTGTGTGGTTTGTGTTACCTCTCCCACCTAGGAGCTACTTTTACCTCAGCTTTCAGGACAAATAATGGCTGCTGAGAATCACAGTAAATGCTAAATTAACCAAAGCCAGGTTGCTGCTTCCATGGTAAATTGACGGTCTTCAAATGCATTGCACACACTCAACCAAGGCTTCTCATTCCCGAGCAATGTGGGGATTGCCACAATGCAGACAGGGAAAACAGAGGCAAGGGATTGGCATCAGCCAGAGAAGCTGCAACAGCACATCTGGCTCCTGGTCCTGACCAGGAAGAGCTTATCACCTTTCCTACACACAAACTACAGCTGCTTTTCAAGGTGTAATTTAATGTTATTTAGTTCTCTTCAAGCCAGGTTATCACTGTTGTCCTGACCAACAGTGGCACCCAGTGGAGGAGGTGCTGCTTGCACAGTTCAGTTCTCAAAAGACTCCAAAATCACTTTAGAAGCTGAATTTTGCATTCTTCCAGCATCCTGCTTGTGCCCTGTTCAGGCAGGAAAAAAAAAGGAGCCTGAGTAAGAAATTTAACCCTACAGAGCAAAGAAAGCTGCAACACAGCTCTTTAACACTAAAAGGAAGTTTTCCAAAATATTATTTGTATGGAACATCATTATTTCTGTGCAAATAATAGCAAAGTTCTTTTTTTTTGTTCTGTGAGGAACAGAAACCACTGTGTACCCTAAAAGAGCACTATTCTTTTCAGTGACAATTTTTTGTCATCACCATCAAACAAACCAAGATGGTGAGAATACAAAGTTGCTGTGTTTACCTGACAGAGCCAACCTTTCCTCCTGCACTCTTCTCTGGAGCTGATTTATTTCAAAATCTTTCTCTGACACCAGTTTGTAGAGCCTGCAGTTCTCATCCCGGACCTCTCGGAGCTGATCCTGCAGCTTCTCATTCTCAGCCTCAAGAAAACTGGGAAAAAATAAACCATAATGACAAATAATGTACCAATAGGTGCTCCTAGAAATAAAATAATGAAACAACTGATAGATGGGCTGAGGTTACCAGGACTGAGTTTATTGAAGTAGCTAGAATATCCTAAACCTCAGATAATTATCAAATAACAAGCTGATTATCTGGTCTATTCAGTTAATATCTTCTTAAAAGAAAAATCTGCACTTTCTTGAGCTGTCTGGGGCAAAACATCACAGAACAAGTATATTGAGATTAAGAAATAGCATAATCTCAGTGTTACTTACCTGGTTCTTCAGGGGAAATCAGGCAGCATTCAGCATGTGGGACATTCAGCTTTCTTTTCTATACTTGACAAAGCCAAGAGAAGCCAACAGAGCATTGACTACAAAGCTGCCCCTGGAGTCCTTTAAAAATCAATGTTTTAGAGCAATTCATAAAAGACCGATTTCCCACGTCCTCAGCTGATTTCCCTGTCCTCTTGGAACCTTTCTTGAACATCAGTTTGTATTGTTAATGGTGCCTTTTGGAATTCATTTAGAAACAGAGAATACCAAAAAAAGCCCTCTGAATGGAAAGAAATAGCCCTGCTTCTCCTAGTCTTCAGGACATTTAGCAACATTTAAAGGTTTCATCTCTCTAAGACATCCAGAGAATTAATAACTTTAATCTAATTACTGCCCTGATATGATGGGTCCTTCAAATAGAAAATCCAGGAGCTGTGGCCTCAGGGGCTCAATTCAATTGTGGAAGTTCAGAATTATCTGAGCTCCCTGACATGGGGTCCTTGAGAAAACTTGGGAATCAATACAATTACCCACACACAGGTGACATTTGAGCTGCCCACCTGACCCCAGCTGCTGCTGGTGGAAGATGCAGGTCTCCAATGCTCTGTGATTCCCATGTGGAAGTTCCTGATAATCTGCAGCATCTCAGTTATCCAGACACCTAAATCAGCTGGATTAATTGACTCCTAGATTCTTATTTTCTACAGAATGCTAAATATTTACACTTTGGAGAAGTGATTTGGATAAAGCCCAGTTGTTACCTTATGTACCTGTACACACAGCCCAAGTCAGATGTCTCAATAATCATCTCATTTTTTTGATTCCAAAGTTTTAGCAAGCTCTTAGCACCCATTGGATCTGAGAGCTTTTAAATGCACCCTCCATCTGCCCATGCCAGAATAAATAACCCCTTAAGACACTGCTATAAACAGCACAGAGTTTAGGAGAGGATTCACAATACATAATTAAGAAATGCACTTGTGTTTCAAAGCTGCAAATCAAAGGGAGATCAAAGGCAGCTGTTCACAAAGGAGAAGAAAGCAAGGAGCAATGTGAGCAGAGGAGAGGCACGACTGAGTTATTCCCACATCACCCACTCAGAGGAGAGAGGAAGGAAACTCAGATCCAGTTAGAGACACCTGAACCAAAAGATTTTGAACAGTTGGGGGATTAACATGGAAAAAAGGTTCTAAGCTCTTAACACACCTGAGCAGTGAAGTCTTCTCAGAGCTGGAGTCCAAGTCTTGAGGAAAAAGTTAGAGGAGGATGGACAGAAATCCCAACTGCACAGAGCTGGAGTCTGCTCTGAGGAACTTCCCACCCCATCCCAGAGTGACTCCCTGTTACAGAGGTAGCAGATCCACCCGAGTGCCTCAGCTACAGAAAATGGGCTGCAAATGGCACCTCTTTTCACTCTTCTTCAAGGAATCACAGCCAGGTGGAGCTTATGAGCACGGCTCTGCCTGGAATTCAGGTGGTTTCCCAAATTGCATGCCGTGTTCAGGCCAAAAAAAGTCAGGAATTAAACTTTTGTCAAATTGTGTCTTTCCTAAGTCTTGTTAGAGATTCTCCACACGATGGGGAGAGTCACTTAAATACATTCAAGTACACCAAACAGAGAAGGGAGGATAAAGTTACAGAGAGAACATGACACAAAAGCAGAAATGTCAGCTAAACACTTGTCTAAACAAGATTTGGGAGTAGGATGGGAGGAAGGAAAAAAGAATTCCCAAGGCTCGGAGGAAGGGAGACTTCTGAGAGGAGAATGTTTTTTTCCGATTGCTTTTATAAACAACAGTGACAAGCTGAAATCACTGCCACTGCAGGCCATGTGGAGTCCTGTGATCCTGGAACAATCCTCTGATGTGCTGTCATGGGAATACTGCAGAGAACGTCCTGGTGAATCCCTTCCAGAAACAAATCCTGCCTGGATTGGATCACTCACAACCACTCCTCTGCTGAATGTACACGAGCAAAGGACAATCCAGATATATCTGCCACACCTGCCATGTCCAGTGGGGACTTTTGACAGTCAGTAACACAGAAACAGAGGTAAATAAAAAATCTGGGATTACTCAGGCCTAAAGTACTGAACTCTAAATAGCAGAGAACTACTGGGCTTTCCTGTACTCTGCACACTGCCCATGATGTGCCATGGGAGCACCTAAGTTCCTTTTTTCCACCAAACATCTGAACTATGGGAATCAGCCTCACAGAAATCATTAAAAATTCGTATTTCCATGGTAATCTTCTACAGATTATCAGAAAAAAACAGTGAAGGGAAGAGGACAGCTGGTAGAGGTCAGATTGGGGTCTTAAGGTGGCAAATCAGACAGCTCTGGTGAGGCACCAGCGCATGAAGGAATTTCTCCACCTGGCTTCACCACTACCACAGAGCAAAGCCCTGCACAGCCAGCATTGCAGACACCTTTGGGGTGTGTCCAACCCCAGACCTGTTGTAGTCGGGAAAAGAAGCATTAATTGGGTGAGAAGGAAAGGCTGACTATATCCTGGGAGGAAAAGAAATGATCTGAGCTGGGGCTTTAAATCTCTGTTCCAGTACTAAACTCAAAAGAAAAAACAAGATTAAGGGATATCCATACCAAAACGCCTAATTGTCCTGGTATCCATCTGATCCACTAAATCAGGATATACTGCAGAGAAATCCCAGGGAACACTCTTCTGCTCTGCAGATCTGTGGCTTGCTCCCATTAGCTGCTTTGCCTCTGTCCATCTTTGGAAATTATTCATGTAGAGAATCTATTTGCTTAGAACTAGGCAGGAACTAACCAGCAGGTCAGAGGATGCCAGTGATCCCAAAAGGCTGGATTTTGTCAGGTAGTACCTGGCTGCCCCTTCATTTGTAAAATACTGATATTAAAGAGCACTGCACAATGCCCTGAGGATAATTAGGGACAGGGAGAATCTCCTCAGGATAATGAAAGCCCGGTGTGTGAAGACAGAAAGTGTCCTGTTAGCTTAATAATATTGAGTTTCATGAGATCATAAGCAAAATATATTCCAGTGACTTCCTGAAGGAATGGCACTGCCAGACCTTTACCTTTTGCTGGCATCTTCATTTACAGGAGGTCCTTTATTAAACAGGTTTAGGTCACTCAGGGCTTTTATAGTGTTCTTTGTGCTGCCAGTGTTCTTCTGCGTGTTCTGCTTTTCCTTCTTCCTCTCCATCAAATTTTGCAGCCGCCTTTGCTGTTGCTCCTGATAAGCCTTAAACTGGCTTTTGAAATCTTCATTCACTTTTACATCTGGCTCCATTGTTTACTAAAAGCATAACAAGAGGAAAATAAAAAGTGACAGAGAGCAGAGATCAGCACTGCTCTGAAAAACATCCCCTTCTGGCAGCTTCTCTGCAGCTTTTCCTCCCTGACATCTGCCCAGTCTCCCTCCTCCTCCTCCTCTCCAGCCCCAGGGCCTTGCTTCAAGAGCCTTTTTCCATAAATGGCTTTTAAACATCCCTTTTAAAAAAAAGTTGTCGGGTCTTTTTCACTCCAGAATTCAAAAAAGCAACGTTTCCAAATGTTCTTAAACAGACCTGTTTAAATAAACATTTTAACAGAGGAGCAGGTTGGAGCCAAATCCAAGCCCATGTGGCATTGTCACACTGGCTAAAGGGAGCATAAAGGGTTTGGGATCACCCAGCCTCTGCCCACATCCAGGAAAGGTGTAAATCCCCCCATTTTTGGGTTAATGGGGGACTGACAGAGGAAGGAAAATCTTCTTTTTCCTTATGGTCCCTTCGGGCAAGACAAAAGTGTGGCTTACATCTCTCCTCCAAATTTCTAATCACTGAGTGATAACATTAAATAATAACTAAATAATAACTAAATAATATATTAATTATTAATATATCTATATCTATAACGTATCTAAATATAAAAAATATATTATTAATAGACATTTCTAAATAATAATATTGCTACCCAAATATTTTCTTAGGATGACTAAAGACAGTTTTCTGATAAATTGCAGCCCCTTCCTCTTTCTGTTTGACATTTGTTGTCGGCAAAAAAAACCTATTGCACCTTTGGTCTAGGAAAACCAATACATAAATATCTCCAAAGGCACACCCTGCACTGAGTAATTAACACAGGGCTTTTTTCACACTGAAGGAAATCAAATTATCTTGATTAATGCACCAAAATGCAGCGTGTCCCTTTGTATACCTTATGGGCAGAGTCACCTGGACAAGGTGCACTGAGGACTGACAAGTGCAAAGAGCAGAGTCTGGAGCCTCTGCACAGCCCACAGGGCTCTGGGTATGAGGGATCAAAGAATTAGTGAATCAGTGAGGTTGGAAAATTAATTTTAATTGATTAAAGTTGATTCTCAGATTTGGAAAAAGCCTACAGAGATAAGGAGTCCATTCCATTTACTTAGGCAAACTGGATATAAAATTTAGACAGCTTTTCTGGTTTCAGTAACCTTTAGGTTGATAACTAAATTTATAATTAGATTGGACCTCTTGATAGGTTTAGCCACTGACCTTAAAGGTAACAAAAAAAAAAAGCAAGAACATCTTCAAACAGTAATTGTCTCTGTTCTGAAAATATCCTAAAATTATTTGTAACTATTTTAGGCCTTAAATCACCTTCATGGTTATTCTCAGAATTTTCTTTACTTAGACTGCATTACTGATTAATTTATTATTTTTTAACTTACTGAGTTATTTACCTGTCTATAGGCCAGAAATGCACACGGTACTTAAGGTGCAGCTCCATCCCTCAATGCTACAATGGAAAAGCCCTCTCAGATCCTCGAGTCCAACATTAACCCAGCACCAAACCTTGTCCCCCAGTGCCACATCCAGGTGAGATTTGAACACTTCCAGGGATGGCGATTCCAACACTTCCCTGGGCAGCCTCTGGGTGAAGAAATATTCGGGAATATCTCATGTAAACCATCCCTGGCTCCAGCCAGGAGGGCTGGAGGGCTCCAAGGCAGGGTCACCTTGTTATAAATGCATATCATATTATTGGCTTTTTGCAGGTATTATAATGAATATTATATGTATAAGATTAGAAAATTTGGCTGTAATAATATAGTCTTCTTTATTTCTGTTATTAATGAAACTTAGAAATAGTGGTATAATACATGTATGTTAAGCTATGACATAGCATTAAAACAAAAACTACTTTTGTTTGTGTAACCCAAAGACTGAAAAAGATAGCTGGAGA